CAGTGACGAATTTCGTGATGGTCGCCCGTCCACTGCTGTGAACAACAAAAACATCGATGTATGATCAAAACAGACAGACATGTGACATACCATGAGATTTAGGCATTTTAAGCATAGGCATGAGTCAAATACAATCAGTACTACACAAACATTTGGGTGTGAAAAAGCTGTGCTCTCGGTGGATCCCACACAATTTGACTGAGACTCAAAAAACGGATCCCATCACTTGGTGCAATGCCATGCTTACTAGATTCAACGAAGGGGCGTCAAATTTGGTGTGGGATATAGTGACAGGTGACGAAACATGGATTTATAGTTACAATTCCAAAACAAATCAGCAATGGAGCGTATGGTTCTTTCGAGATAAGCCGAAATCAACCAAAGTGGCGCGCGTGGAAAGTGCCTCTAAGCGGATGATTGCTTCTTTTTTTAATAAAACTGGACACGTAGCTACTGTTGTTTTGGAGAATCTTTGTACCATGATTAATGATTGGTACACGACCATTTGTTTGATGGAAGTTATTGAGAAACTCCGTAAAAATAACCGTAAACGCCGTATCATCTTGCACCACGATAATGCCAGTTCTCACACGGTCAGACAGACAAATGAATTTTTGAAGGTGAACAACGTTGACCTTATGAGCCGTCACGCGTACAGTCCCGACCTGGTACTTTGTGACTTTTATTTATTTCCAAAAATTAAGAACCAGTTACGTGGCCAACGTTTCTCAATAAGATTATTTATTTCCAAAAATTAAGAACCAGATACGCGGTCAGCCTCTTCAGGTGATGTTTTCATCATATTTTTCATACTCCGTCGAAGAGTATGAAAAATATGTTTCAGAGATTGTCACGGAGGAGTGGCATAAATGTTTTCAAAATTGGTTCATTCGTACAAAAAAGTGCATTAACGCTAACGGAGAATATTTTCAGAAACAATAAATTCATTTCTGACCATTTATAGTATTTTTTCTTATTCATTCCGAAAACTTATATATATATATATATAGTTCGCTCCACGTACAACCTTAGGTGATGTATTAATTTAATAGTAATAAAAACTCCGAAAAGTAAATTTAAAATTGTCTGTCTGGCCGCGTGAGAGACAGACAATGAATTTTTGAAGGTGAACAACATTGACCTTATGAGCCATCCCGTGTACAGTCCCGATCCGGTACCTTGTGACTTTTATTTATTTCTAAAAATTAAGAACCAGTTACGCGGTCAACGATTTTCATCACATGAAGAGGCTGTCGAAAAGTATGAAAAATATGTTTTAGAGACTGTCACGGAGGAGTGGCATAAATGTTTTCAAAATTGGTTCATTCGTATGAAAAAGTGCATTGACGCTAACGGAGAATATTTTGGGAAACAATAAATTCATTTCTGATCATTTATAGTATTTTGTTCTTATTCATTCTGGAACTTATAGTGCGCCACACGTATATGGAAATGGCACCAAATACATTTTTAATATTGTTCTATTCTTGTTTAAATCTTAAATTGAAGTATTGGCATTTGGAATTTAAAGCAGAAATTTAAAGAACGAATTTAAATAAACCTCAGTAATTGAGAAAAAAACGGCATAAATAAATCAACGGTTTCGTTTTAGTTTTGATAAAAGAGAGGATGAACGTGTAATCCGCTAAAGGTGCCAAAGAGGCGTGTAAGGATTGCTAAGGACACAAGGAGAGCACAAATACATAAAATAAATTGTAATTTTTCATGCTAAGTCATTGTTAACAGCAGCAAACTTAATTTGAATACATACATTTGAGTGATCTGATACACAGGAAAACTTTTTTAATTTCGACTTGTATTCTTATTTTGTTAAGAGCTTGTAGACATTTAGGCTAAGTTTAGACGACAAAAATTTAACGGGCGTTTTCAAATCGCGCTACCGTACATCCGTTTATATGTAAGCGCCGCTGCCGCTGCTGCTGCGTTCAGAGGTAATAAATACTTCAAAGTTTGCATTATAGGCTCTGACATTATACCCTTTCAGATGACCGCGCGTTATCGTTCGCTCCTAGTACTTGCGTCACTCTACAAGTACTCGTCAGCTGAACGTACCTACTACAACGTCGAAGCGCGGCAAGTATGTATCCATCTGAACTTAGCATTATGGTGACTTATTCGTGAATTGTTCACGTTTTATATATAAATATGTATTATAATAAAATATTTCACGGTTGTAACTCATTTTCAAATTCTTTATTCGATGAAACAAGATAACGGTTTTATAAAAAAAAAAGACCTGAATCAACATAATCTCATAAACGAAATACTCGTAATTATATTTTTTTCAAACATACCAGAACATATTTGTACTACCAAGTACCTTTCTGGACGAACTCTTTCACAAGGAGCTCTACTGCTAGTGTATGTCGGAATAATCGCGTAACATACACATAAAAAATACATTCGAATTGAGAATGTCCTTATTTTTTTTTAGTCGATAAACAAAAATTTTCAAAAGGAATTTGTTTAAAAATGAAACGATTAATTAAAAGCAACGTGACCCTAGACCCTAACGAGAATGTCGCCCTGGTCCCGACCATTATTTCAGTATTATTACTTTGTGTTTATAAGATAAGCAATAAACAAAATGAAAACTCCGAAATATTCTAAGAGTGTACATAATTTCGAACCCTGTTAAGATCATAACATTGCTATGAAATATTTGGTTTTATTATAAGAAAACGTGACGTAATCTTAACCTTGGGCAATTTTTGCGAATAAACTCGCACCAACGGTAAAACAATTTCTAACATAAAATTACCATTAACAACAATTTTACCCAATTCCCGCAGCTTCGAGATCACAGTTCAAAGACGAGAGATAACTCTCCGGTTATTCACAGTGTGTTGTAAGATTAAAGTAATGACAAAGAAATCTTTGTTAACAGAATTAAAGAAAGAAGTTAATGGGGTCCCAAGTAATTGTTTCTCTCTGAATTAGGTAATTCTTATTTGAATTTAATATCGGGACTTACTTGTGTATAATTTTTTGTTTTATATTTACCTCGACGATTCTGATGTGTTGCAGCGTCCATGGTCTCGAAGGGACTGCTGGACATTACTGGACGTTGCAACACGTCCGAAACGTCGAGTAAATGAAATATATTTATAGACTATTGAGTCCCGATATGAAATTCAAATAATGTGTGAAAATCGTGAGTTTAAATAAATATTCAATATTATTAATATTTTCAATTTTTAAGGTTTAGTAATAGAAATAATTTTTATAAATATAATTAATAAATTTTTATAAATTATATTTATAATTTTATATTTAAATTTTTATAAATAATAAATTTTATAAATAATTTTTGTAAATGCGTCACTCCATTCAAACAGGAGCTTAAATATTGCTATTATTAAGAAGAATAATCCTCGAAATTACGCCTATGCCCGCGATTCGACGACGTAAGGGAATAATACTAGGGAGTAACGTAAACGGATATTCACGCACGTGATTAAACATGATCCAGTCGAAAGCTTTATATTGGCTGATGAAGCCTAACAAACAGCCACCCACACCTGCCAGTAGAAACGAAGGGAAATAATACGACCTATAACAAGTAATCACGTAGTGCCGATTGCTCTCTGATGATAGGTAATCATCATTCACTACGCACCAAAACGTAATATTACTGTGAAATATTATCGAAACTAAGGGTCGTATTCCAGAACTCTACTCAATGCTCAAGTCAGGACTTGAGCAGACTTAATTATGATTTGAAGTACTGGAAATACGACTCTAATGGTAAGGACTTGAGTATGATTTCCAGTGCTTGAAATCATACTCAGATCCTGACTTGAGCATTGAGTAGAGTTCTGGAATACGAGGCTAAGGGCCGTATTCCAGAACTCTACTCAATGCTCAAGTCAGAATTTGAGTATGGTTTAAAGCACTCGAAATCACACTCAAGTCCCTGCCATTAGTGTCGTATTTCCAATGGTTGTGTTTCCAGTGCAATCCTGACTTGAGCATTGAGTAGAGTTCTAGAATACGATCCTAAGAGTGCCTATCTTTCAATGGTATTCGTTTTATATCTGGAACTTTTATGCTGTGTATATACACATATACCTATTTCATACACATGTGCCTATTTCAAAAGATTAATACTATATTTTAAGATTAATACTATATGTATAATAAAACACAGGTAGGTACAGAAATAGTCATAGTAAGTTATAGTAGCAAGACCAAGACGAGACTAAGCCCAGTCTCGGTCTTGCTTTCGGGGTCAGTACACTCAGACTTAGTCTTGGTCTTGATCTCGGTCTTGTTGCAAGAGTCTCGCAAGTCTTGCTATTATTATTTATTTAACTATCATATTCTAATAAAAAGTGTGATGAAGGTTGGTTCCAATTTTAGGACAACGCAACAAAGTAGGTACTACATTTTGAGTACATATTGACATAGGTATGTATAGTATAGGCTAACCAAATGACGTAAAATGATTAACTTTACAGAATTTTTAAGATTAATAAATAATACTACTTAGTGTATGCTATGTTGCAGATTCAGTCTTGTCCTTTCTTAAATCTTGCAAGGTCGGAAATGTTCTTTCAAAAATGCAAGAACAAGACCAAGACGTATTTTGAACAACACTATTTAGCAAACAATAGCAATTAATTTTTAATTATGTTGAGGTAAGTGGATGAAGTTTCCCCACTTCCTGTTCTACACAAACTTTCTTCTTAACGCTGCGGAAAAGATCATCTATCCTTGGAAGTAACTTTAAACGAAGAAGGAATCACTTATGACAATAGAGAACACTTCAGTAGGTATGTGTACATTTGATGTTGAGTGGAATTCTTTTCCCAGTAGGTTAGTATCGCGGAATTGAAAAGTGGTTTTGTTTGAGTGGTCGAAGAAGTGTTTGGAGCGGGGAATGGGGACGGGAATAAGTGCACCGACCCAGTCGGCAATTTTCAGTTTCATTATGCGAGTGGCGTGAGGCGAGCGTACTGCCGCGCCGTACCGTTTACCGGCTGCCCAAGCTTCTAAGCGCTGAGCTCCAGTACACAGGCGGGATAGCTACGGGACGCCCGTATACGCGCATCGCCGCCCTGCATTTTGAATTCGCGGCAATCGTCTTCGGAATTCAAAAAATGTAATCGCGACCCCTCCACACACCATATCACAATACATTTGCTCTTTAATTTCAATGACTGACTTAATGTCTACATTAGGTTCGGCAAGTGCATAACAACGCTGCATTGGTGAGTCCGAAATGCTTTGTAAACCATGCCAACCTACGGGTTCGCTAGTATTCCTGCTTGTTTAAATTGTATGAAAAGATCTTTTGAATTCTTAATTAGTAAATCTGTTACGGTAACTACATGCATCCCCAACGTGTTAAAAAACCTCATGATAATTATGGAAAATAATATTTCTTATATTTTATGATTTAATTATAGAAGTCGCGTTAATGAAGTCAATAAAATTGAGCCATATCATATAATACTAACATTAGAATAGATATCAAAATAATATTAGTCATATATATAATTTTATCAAATTATAGAAGCGTACCTTTGAGTAAAGAGAAATGCGCCTAACTCACGTTAGATCGGCGATGTAGATTTTAGCGTAATACTTGCTTGAAGCAACCTGCGCCCTGCAGTGGGTCGTGTATGTGTTTGTACAGCAGTACTAGTCGAATAAAAAATAAACATCTTGATTAAAATAACAGCATGCAGGGATAGTTATTTTCATCGATATAATCGAAATTTTTGTCGCTGGCGAGAGTCATCCTTCATCCAGCTGCCAATCAATATGCGTGAAGAGAAAAATGTGTGACATAACCAGTTGTTCTTATTTTCTTCACAACTCCAGGTTTTTCCATATTTCACTTCGCAACGGGTGTTAAACTTGACTAAATAAATAAATCCTCGCAACAGTTTTTGTCCGACTATTCTAGTCCATTCTTTATTTTATTCAGTAAACCATCGACAAACACACACTGTGATATATTATTCACTGTAATATTTGTAAGTGCCTGAAGAGCCTGTTCCCTAAATTTGTACAAATCAAATTACTGCACACTACATACATTCGTGAAAATATTCTTTTCTATACTTAAATTAATTGTTTAGCAATGCCTATGATTATTTAATAATGTATCATGAACTAACTGTACTTAGAATAACATTTTCACAAATAGTATCAAAGTACTCGTAAGTATTGAAAGTGTCAAAATGGCTACCGCAAAGACATAACAATTTCCAGCGAAAAAATGTTAGAAAACTAAATGATTAAAGGATTAAAGAAAACTGAAAATCTAAGATCTGGTAGCATGGCTAATTAGACGCTTTGTCCTGACGAAAAGTTTTACTAATAAAGTAAGTATTATCTGTATATAAAGCAGAATTTCGCAAGTAATAGAAAATACAATACTAGCAAATGCACAATGTGCGAACGAAACAACAACAAAAACCATATTCTGTAGATTTACTCCCAATCAATATTCCAAATTCACACACCTTCCGTAAAATGGTTTCGTCGTCGTTATTTCTTTTTATTTCTTGTTTCATTACGTACAAGCAGGTCGGGAAAAATATGTTTCAATTAATTCTGTTTCAACGCTACAGAGTTCAAACAAAATTGTACATCACATAAAAAATTTATTCTAAGGAACCATTCTTGTACATTTGATTTAGAAAAACTATCGCATTGTCAATGTCTACAAAAAATACCATAATATAATATAATATACAATACTTTTTATTACGTATAAAAGTATTTTTCTCGGTATCAATAGAAAGATGCTTTCAAGTTTTTAGCCGACTTCAAAAAAGGAGGAGGTTCTCAATTCGACTGTATGTTCTTTTTTTCCTCCTTTTTCACCTCAAAGGGTGGCTGTTCACGCATGAAGACTCATTTTTATAAATAGCGCCTAACTTTAATTTAGGAGCAATTCTTTTAGCAATTATTTACATGATTTTGCTATTTCTCCAATTCAAGGCGTTTTTCTCTCGATATACTTTGAGTAGTGTCGTAGTGAGAACCTATTTTTATTATCTCCAGTATCAAGTCCTGTATAGTGGCGAATTTAAAAAAACTTTCCCCTATATTTCAATGAAACTTAGCAAATAGACGTAATTCCACGTACTTTTGAGGTCGGTGTTTTTAGTGCTCTGTACTGAGATTATTATTGAAATCTCTATTAGTGCACGTTAAGTTTTATCGACAGTATACAAACACTTAAATTAAGAACGGTCAAATCTATTTTGATTGAAATAACAAAATCTGTACTACTCCTGTGCTATCTGTCTATCAATTATAATTTCATAAACAATATCACAAAGGCGCTCTTTTTAGTTCGGATTCAAAATTCTATTGTCTATGGTACTCGCTACTGAACTGAAAAATTTCGTTATAGTTCTGTACACACTATAATGAGTTTAAAAAAACATATTTTTGCTAATTTAAATATCAACTAAGACGCTAATCAGACACTCTACTGCTTCCTGATTGGTATAATTGACCCAAAGGTCTTGCAACCAGGCCGTAACCTTCATAAAAAAAAATGGTTCAAATATAAGCCGTACTTGGCCACTTCTAGTCTCTCTTTGGTTTTTGTTTTGAAGCTTTTGTTTGCCTTTCGTTTAAGTTTGTTGTCATGGATTGTTAACAAAATATACATTAAACATGGTTGTGTTTCATTATTTTATCACTCGTAGAAAAAGTATTGGATGCAATCATTACATAATTAGGTCTTACAATCTCATACCTATTACTTAGGCCACTAACTCGACTTTAAAAACCCTCATTATACAACAATTGGTTAAGGTAGTAATAACGAAACACATAGTTTTTTTCTGTTATTGGCATTTCGCGGTTGGCGTTAAGGCTAACGACATGAAAAATATTTTAACTTTATTTCAAACTAGGAAATCGTTTCAATGTCAATTAGGATACCGATTTCGAGGTAAATAGGATCAGAGACCAACTTAATATTAATGTGAATATACACCTGAGAATAAAGAAAATAAAATATAATTTTACAATAATAATTTGTTAAGGATCTGTTTCAATTTTTATATTATTACCTAAAATAAAATTAACATTAATAATAATAATTTATTTTCATCCAAATGTTTAGAATACAACTTACAACAGTTTAAGAAAATGTAACAAGTTTAGCAGTTAACTTTATACGACGTTTTGAATAATAGAAATTGTTCATAACCTCATGGTGGTATATTAACAACAGTGTTCTTCCCTGCTAATCCAGACTGTGTTAAGGCAATGTAAGATTCCCACTTAAACGAATATATTCTTTACGTATTAGTATTATAAACTGATTATGAATAACACAAAAAAAGAAAATTACATACTAATTTATATAAAACACGGATCATTCGATGATTACGGGATCTGAAAGGACATAGGAAAGGATTATGCATGATTGGATAAGCAAGGTTATGGAAACGTATAGAATAGTCATGTTTAGGACAAATTTAAAATAACTACTGTAAACTAGCAACCGGTACTAACTTAATTTTGAAAACTTTACAGATGAAGAAAAAACTTATTTACGTCATTTATATAGCATCTGGTTTTTTAAATAAGAATATGATTTTAACCAATGGAATTTCTTGCAACGCTGCGGAGTATGAGTATAAAATGGTATTAAAAAGCGAAATCTTTAGAATATAAGGATTGTACCAGTTGCCAGTTCACAGTCGATATGTGATACAAATTTCATGCTTTGGCGTATGAAAATCTGCTTATTTTATGATATCAAGTGACGGGACTAACAACTCGTGCGCCTGGTGGTAACTCTGAGACATAAGTTGACAAGTCCCATGTGCCTGTAATTTGACCAGCACCCTTACCCTTCAAAACCGGAACACAGTAATGCTGACATTACTGCTTGGCGGCAGAAATAAATAAGTATATAAGTATAGTTACACCACTTTTGCGTTGATATCCTCAATTGTTAGTATACTGGTAGTGTAAAAATAAGTAAATATATAAATAAACATTGAAAATCGGAATACGAGTTCTTAGGTTTTCGCGATTGTTACACATAGGAAATGAAACTATTTTTCCGGATTTAAATCGCGTATATTTGTTTTTTTTTCAAACAAACCGACGTTTCGGGCCCTTTACAGGTCCCATGGTCACGGTTGACCATGTTGTTTGAAAAAACAAATATACGCGATTTAAATCCGGAAAAATAGTTTCATTTCCAATCGGAATACGAACTTGAAATTTCTGACTGCCTAGTCTGGGGTCGTCAAAGTTATTTGTATCAGCAACGTTACAGAAAGCTAAATACAGTGTTTATAAAAGTTCTTCAAAAGTTTCCACATAGCACAGTATGGATGGAGCGTAACACGATCATCAGCTGCAGTGTGTTCCTTCTGATCACGTACTACGTATGGGAGCTAAATCAATAACTTCATACTTCCTTGCGACTTTGAAATGGAAACAGAACCGTCATTTGTTGCAACATTATTTATTACTGCTACATATTAGAAGAAAATTACATTTTCCTTTTGTTCTCTATTACCTATCCATTTCCTATAGTGAAATTCCTCTCCGATGCGTTTTTTTTATATTGCAAATCTTAATTATTTGTTAACACACAAAAACTTTCCTTGTTTTTTTTAATAAAAATTCGTTTCGTTGATTTAACCAGATAGTATTTTAATTAACAATAGTCGTTAAATTTAATAATAGTAATTTTTTACTTTCTTCGGAACAAACTAAGGCTTCTAAGCTATATTGCCAGATCTTAGATTTTCATGATCTTAGATTGGGTAATTCACATTTCTTGAGCAGTTTTTTCAGATTCAGAGCATTGACAACAGCGTAGACTGACTGATTTACCATATCTTTTCCTACGTTTCTAATAACAGTGATGGCGTCGGGGTTTAACTTTTATCGGACATAGTAACACTGACATGCCCAGTGGCTAGTTGATTTAGGTAGAGTCGTCAATTAAAACGTTATGCGCCACCGTTCAGAGCTTTAGTCCGAGTCGTCTGAGGGGTGAACCACTTAAGAAAGAAAATACGACGTAAATACTTAATACACTAATACTAAAAATAATAACAATATTAATAATAAATTTTATTTATTTCAGATAATTTGAATCCATCATTTGTTAGATACACACACTTACAGCAAGTATGAAATAAACTATAGCTAAAAGAGTAATTTACACAAATAAGTTTTATGATCGAAGTGTAAAGTGTGGTTTCCTGCG